CATGTTTTAAAATTCTTTATCTTCGAAGCATTGATGGCCTTTTAAATGCAATTGAAAAAGCGTAATTAGTTGCAACTATCGCTCATATTTGCTTTCGGTCTATTCAATTTAGGTAATTTTATCTTGGACAAACCTTGCACCTATTTTATAAGTAGGCTTTTAGTCGCTTTTGTCAACTAATTAGAGTTCTACAATGTACATTTCATTTTGCCTTTACCAACTGATTATATTTTGTCATTTCATTTTTAGCATCTTAGGTGTTCCTTTTCTTTCAAATAATTAGTTGGAAGTTAGTTCCCATTGATCAATAGTTAATTTTTCCGATGATTTGAATTTAAGCGATAGGATCTTTATGTTTCTCGCTAAGGCAAGTACTAAGTGGACTTGTATTCTTGTAAACTTTAAAATATTGATTGCTATAAAGCTGTTTTTTCATCATTTGATTATCTGATAGTAATGTTCGGACATTGACCATAAATTTTAATTTCTTTGTGAAGTATTTGACCCAGACTTTAGATCTTGTAAATGTTTTATTTTTATGTTTTCCAGATAATTTGATGTTGAATAGATATCACTAACAACCATGCCCGGAGCAACTATTTTGCTATATGTTGAATCAAGTATATGCTATAAACCTATGATAAAATTGAGGTCTAGATTCTGCAAGTTATGTTTCTATTATTTTAATATTGACTGCTTATAATAAAATGAAAGAATTTTTTTTTTATCAGGAGATATTTGAAATTTCTTTCATAAAAAGGCTGTAACATACGCTAAAAAATAAAATCAATTTAAAGGAAATTTTTTAGAATAATTTGGTGGCATTCAGTAAAAAAGTACAAAACAGAACCAATTTAAAGATATGTTGTAAAATGAAATTAATATTTGAATAGATAATAATCTTCTGTTATGTATAAGAGTCTGAAAAATCAGGAATTTTTGTGATGCTTTTAATATTGTGAAAATTGAAACAGGATAGGTTTCCCAAAAATAAAAGCTTGCATTTTAAATTAAAAAATATTTAAAGCATTATTGGTATGCTGCATTTTCTTGAAATAGCAATAAATTAACCTTGCATTTTTGTGCATTTTTTAAAAATCATAATAATCAATACCTGCAAAAAATTTTGAATTTACAGTAATTAAAATAAAGTCTCCTTATTTTGAAATGATGGTTTTCCTTCTTTTTCAGTAGTTCCCTCATGCTGCTAAGTTAATAAGTCATTGAAAGAATAAGGAATAGAAACTGAAAGAAAATTTGTTTATTTTCTGACACACTCTTTTTGTTGACAAATTTTTCCTGTTTTGACCGATCAGAAGAAAGATGGTATCAGCCTGAGGCCAAACAGATTCAATACATGATGTGTCTATTATTGATCCCTATTGATAGATCATGTTGTTGTAGACAGGAATTAAAAATATATATCTGATCTATCAAAAAAAGGGGGGCATGTCAGATTTACCAAGGAGTATGTTGTTGTAGACATGAATTAAAATATATATCTGATCTATCAAAAAAGGGGGACATAATCGCATTTCAGACTTACCTAGAACTATATTGTTCAAGACAGGAATTAAAAATACATATCTGATCTATCAAAAGTGGGGCATGTCAGACCCATTGAGTATTATATTGAGAATAAGATGATCAAATACCAGTACTTTATACATGTATTTTGAAATTTAAATTTCTGCTTACATGTAATCATGTTATTCTAACATAGGATAGAGGCTTTTTTTTCTTTCTAGTTTTATCATCAGGAACAATATTAATTTATTGTAACATATTTTGTTGTGTCTCATTTGAATTGATTATAAACTAAGTTGATAAAAATACTACATAAATTATCACCACATGGTGTTCATTATCATTTAATTAGCGTTGAAACCAGGTTTTTCCTTTGTTTCATATCATAACTGATAATTTTTTTATTGTCGAGTTTTATTGATACCTATTATTTTCACAGTTTGGTTAGATATGGTTGTTGGGTTGTAGACGTTAGACTTCTGCTATATTCTGCTTATTCTCAGCTTCAGTAGCAAGAGGAACGGAAGTTTATAGATTTAATTACTTCCCTGAACATCATAAATGAATAAAATGGCCTATTTTAGAAATTCATACATAGAAAAGATGCATGTTCAAACAGAAAGTCATTAAAAAAATATATTTGTGCAGTAAAATCGAAGGACAATTTTACTTCAGCAATGATGTGTTAGCTGTTCATTACAGTTTATCATAAATTTACATAATTCATTTGAAATTATCATATTAGCAAATGAAATCTTATTGTTCATTGATTTCCAATACGAAGCTTTTCCATATATAGACAACCATTAAATGAGAGGTTTTGTTATATTTTGAAAATGATGTAGTTTAAATGTAAAAAATATAACTGAAAATGAGCTGATATATTAAGAAATAAGAGCCAAGCTTAAATTCTTTCTTTCTTTAAATTTAAATGCTTTCATCTTTTATGGCCACTTTATAGATTTAAATAGAAGTATTTTTACGATCGTAGGACTAACTGAAGAGATGACCTTTAAATCCTTTAAAAACTTGTATGTTTAACTTCTTTGTTTCTGGGTCAAAATATTGAAATTGATCTATTATAAATATCAATATTTTGAAAAATAATATTTATTTAGTTTATCATAGTAATAATTCACTTGACTTGGATTTTACAGCCTCTAGCCATAAAAATGACATGGTTCTTGAGATTTCTATAGTCCATAGCTAACTGCAGGGGGTTGGGGTACCAGTTAACTGTATACAGTATGTTGCACACCTGTCTTGCAGGTAGGAATCAATTTCATGTCTGCCTGAGGCAGGTCAATATTTTTGATTGACATTCATGTAAAGACAAATTAGGGAGATTAGCAAGTTATTGTAGAAGAAGTGATAATTTGACTAAAAATGAAAAATAATTTTGTAATATTATATAACGATTGTCATTGTTGTGTGGCATTGATTTATTAACTATCCAGTGGTCAAGTTGTGGAATGTTTAGAGGTTTAATTGTATACTTTTGATTTAAAGTAAGTTTATTTTATATCTGTGAAGATAATATTTGAGTTGCCTCTGTTTTCTGCTTATAACTTAACCAAGATATCTCACACAAAAAAGGGGTAAGGTATTTCAAGCTTAGTTTTAGAGAATTTGAAATAAGAGCTTTTGTTTGATGTCATGTCTAGCAAATTTTGAAGCATTATGTTTATGAATTGCCCATAATTAGACATATCTTTTGTGAAATAATATAAATTTTTACTATCTATAAGGCCATGAAGACATTGAAACATTTAGAATATTTTTAGATTTTTTAGTGTAACAGAAAAGAACGGAAATCATGTATTTAAGCAGGACACACAATGCCTACACCCACTTGACAAATCCCAAAGAAAAGGAATGGTACTTTAATTGCTGTTCCTCATTTAAAAGTCATATACAGAGAGCAAAAACTTGCGAGTTCAAGACATTGAATGTTGACCAGGTCTTTGTGACTATTTAAGGAGTCTGTGAGACATTTTTACATCCCTACGTAACCATCACGATGAGTCCTTTAGACATTTTTACATCCTTACCACCACCTACATGTAATTACCCACTATATCATTAGATGTCAATATCTCATCGATAACCATGTCAATTTCATCATACCTGACCAATGATTAACATTATGTGTATTTAACACCTTATTATATACTGGGCATATTTTTTCTCTGGAAAAATCTTGAGGTTTGTCAGAATTTTTTTCTTTTTACATAACTTGTTTTCGATTATTTATTCCATTTTAGGCATTAACACATGTAAAACTATAAATGGTGTCTTCTATTAATATCATAAATAAATATGAATAAACATTTTAAACATAAGATATATGGAAATATATGTGTTTTCTACTAATATATACGTGTTTTCCAAGTGTACTGTTACTTCTTTATTTATGTTCTCTGGGAAAACCAAAGCACAAGATGCATATAAAAGTTACAGTTATTTAACAGTAAATTACTTTCATTTTTCATGTTCCATATTTTTTTTGGGTAAATTTCTTTGATTGATGTGGTTGAAAATATGCATTGAACAATTTAACCTGAAAGTGAACTCTAAGATTAACACCTCTACAAATTAGATTTGGCAGTAGAAATGAACTTTACATTGCCAAATAGATCAGATTCAGTGGTCAAAAACAAGATAAAACAATTCATTGAACCATTATCTGTCTGTATATCATTGATAGCTTTCATTAAGGTTCTTTTCTTTGTAGCACAGAACAAAATTTTAGTACTAATGTTAACTTCACTTCCTTTAAAACTTGTATAAAACACTGTTCAGTTAATAAAAATACAACAACTAATGCAAGTTTCCTGACTTGCTTGTTGTTGAAAAAAGTTGAATCCCTTCCAGTAATAAGAATTTTTTGTTTCAAACAACATAAAATATTAAAACAGTATATATATATATGTATACATGTATAAAGTCACAGTACACTGTACAGCTTCCTAAGTCATAATTGTGTATACAGTGCACAATTCGTTGTACAGTAAGGCTTAGTATCAATTCACTGTACACTGTACAGCTCCCTAAATCATAATTATTTATACAATGCAGAGTTTGTTGTACAGAAAACCTTAGTATCAAGTCACGGTATACTGTACAGCTTTTCTAATCATTCTTATTTATGGAGTGTACAGTTTTTTGTACTATTAGCCCTAATATAAAGTCACAATACACTGTACAGCTTCCCAAATCTTAATTATACAGTGCACAGTTAGTGTACACTAAGCCTTAGTATCAATTCACGGTACACTGTACAGCTTCCCAATTCATTCTTATTTATAGAGTGTACAGTACGTTGAACAATATGTCCCCACGATTTTGTCCAGGTAGATTCTAGATAAGGGTGATAAACTTTTATCAATTATTGGCCAATTATCTAGTTGTAAACTTGTAAACTGTAAACTGTATTTATTGCCTTAACTCTAGTTTATGATTTCTCATTTCAGATAAATATATACTCCAGGAGAATTAACAAAGAAATATTGTCTTGGAAGAATTGTGGAGTATATTTAAATCAGATGTGACTTCTAAAGGAATAGCAAGTGATTCAAATTTCATTTTAAAATGAGGATTTAAATAAGATTAGCAGATTTACATATGGATATAATATATGAAGTGAAAGTTTTATAATGTAAAGGATGTTATAGATATTTTTTGTTGGAGATATATGTTATTTGTTAGATTTCTTCTTCTGAGATTTGAAAAGCTAGGAAGCTTTCGCGTCCAATGAACCTTACTTAGCCAGGAACCGACGGCAATGTCATGTGGATTAGCATCTTACGATTGTTGCTTCTACTTCTGCACATTTTGGAAGGTGAGAATTATTTGTATGAGGAAATATACACAATTTGATTTTTTTCAGACAATAAATTAGTTGAGTAGTAGTTTAGCCAAAGATGGGTGTATGGAAACCCCAAAATCATTAAAAGTTACTTATACTGATTATTCAGTATTCATAGGCAGTTTATCTTGCTCTAGTAGCTTGCTAAATTTCATTAAAATATGCGAGATTCAGTGCCCATTAATGTGCCATACCTGTTACTTTAATTGATATCATTTGGTGCATCAAAATTTTAGCATTTTGAGAAGTAAGAAATAAGAAATAAACAATCAGATTTGCTAGATAACATAAGATTTGCAGTTTCATTTTTAATAAGTAACCTCTTGGAAAAAAATAATTTTCTTATTTTATTGTTACTGTCCTTCAGACTAAGTAAGAAAACATTGAAAAAACAACATCTGGCAATGAATGCTTCCTGAATCTTATTTATATAATTGGAATCGGAAACTTTATAATTAATTTCTCTATTTTGATGTAAAAGCACTTATAAGTTATAATAGTTTTACCACTGGTAATTGTAGAATATTGCAATAATCTGTCGAGTCTGACAACAGTAATTATACCAAATGTTGTCTTCTCTAAGATCTTAAATGTTTTTATTAATAAAAGGAGATGTGGTATATGTATATCAATAAGACAGAAACCCAACTACAAAAATAATCAAACATCATCTAGAGAGCAACATACATTCTTCAACAATAGACAGGTGTTACAGTGTTGGGTTGCCCTCTTGTTGACATGTACCCCATATCCTTTGTTTGTATTCAGTACAAAGTATTTTCCGAACCAGTATTTATTCAGGCTATGGCCCTTATTTCTAAATTTTTCCATCTGATCTTGATTTTTGTCAAACCGCGAAGGACTTGCCACTTAAATCTGGCTAATCTGATACAAAATGTATTTGGTCTGGACAGAAACTATACCCATAATGTCCTCATCTTCAATAAAAGCAAAGTCTATTTATCAATGTCTTCCAATTCCAGATTGTTTTAGTACCGGAAGCTGATTAGTTTTCTACTTGGTCTTAATTGTGAAACATAAAAATTAAATGTTTAAGTAAGATTTGGTCTTAGGAAATGTTACAAGTTTATTGTTGAATTAATTACAGTTTTCGCCAACAACTACAATATCAATTTGCTTTTAAAAAACAATTACGAAATATTTCTGTTTTATGTTATGAAAATGAAAAGAAGGAATGTTAATTCATTTAAACTGATTCATAATTTTTTATCCCTGTAAATTATACTCTTAATTTGACTAGGTTTCTTGAGTTTCACTATTCTTTTCACTATTTGAAGTGTAAAATTGTGGGGTAGAATCAAGATTTTATCATGGTCTTGTCAGGGGTTCTGTCATGGGATTTTTTCAAGGTGAGTGGGTAGGTCATGAGTAACATTTATAAAATACAAGCAATCAATTCAAATTGATTAAATGAATTAAACTTTATTTTCTAAACAAACCACAAAAAATCTGTTGATTCTAATCTAAATTTGGACCAGAACTTAATCAGATAATTTATGTACTGTCCTTTCATTGGATTTCACAATTACACCAGAAATAATCTTGCAGCTACAATTGATACTTTTCACAATTTTAACATGTTCCTGTTAAATTCCATGTTAAGATATAAGAAATTCAAGTACTAAAAACAAATTTTTTACAACAGTCCAAGGGTTCCTGAAAAAATTATTGCAGTTACTGTGACTAGTGTCATGTGTAATAATACTGATTTTTTTTATCCACTTCAAAATAATTTAAAATCTACATTTTTGTTTTAATTCTAATCCATGTCTTTGGAATTAGCTTATTATGAATATGATTAAGTTAAGAATTTAGATAATTAAAAATATTTTCACTGAATAATTCCTACAAACTTATTGATGTTTGCAGGAATTAAATTTATCGAGTGACTTACTCTGTATGATTCAGATTTCTGACAGTAATGAAATCGTGATAAGACCATAGAGTAGGTGTATTACAAATGACCGAGTGGTTTATAATAGTAGCCTCTATTGTAGCGGTCAGTAAGGGTCAGTGTCAAGCCTGTTAGTGGACACAGCAGACGACAATGATGTATGTTTAGTAGACATGTGTTCTTTGGCTTATGTTCAGTTGTCAAGGATGAAAGTGTAATTGAAGTATTCCCATCAAACTGGCTCACTCAAATTAATTACATTCCTTATGAAGATTTTCTTAAAAATGGTGAAATAAATTGAAATATTGGTTTTCGGTAGATACCTTACTTAATTAACTTATGAAAGTATATGTTGCTTTATTTTTATGCAATATTTTGTAAAGTTTTCTACTATCACAATTATCGTTGTCATTAATTTATTTCATTTCTTGATGAAGGTGTGCTTTTTTTGTGCGTGATATTATTTGTTCTGCAAGGATTTTTATTGAATATACAATTTTTTCGATCTATTTTGTTTTCACTTGTACAAGTAATAACCTTGTGAAAATTTCAAAGTTATTGGTCATCTGGTCTTTGATCAGTTTTAATGATTTCCGTTCAAAGTTTTACTATTGAAAAGTAAATAAACAACAAAAGGCTGTAGAAAATCAGTAACGTCATGATGTGTAAGGGTGGGGTTAACTGTGAAAAAAATATTGGTGATTATGGCAAACTACCCTTTTAAAAAATAGCCATAAAAGGGAGCCTTTAATGAGTTATCTAAGTAATCCCCTGCTGTTAGTTTTAACGATATTTCCTCTGGACAGCTCTCTACAAAAGGAAGTTTCTGAGAGTATTGTCGCCCTCTACATGATAATACAATCAATATAGTGTGTTGACAATGGCCTTATAAAGAGATAAAAGTTAGCATTAGATAAGATACTGAACACCAGGTGGGGTTATGCAAGTTTAAAGTGTCATAATTCAGAGTGATTTGGACCTGAAAAAGTGTTGTATTTTGATAAACTTAAATCTCCATGTATATAAATTATTCAAAATCAAAAAGTAAATGATTCATTGTTGGTATTCATTCATACGAATATGTCCTGAATCATTCAGGGGTCTGTTTTAAGACTTGGTTACAGTTACTAAGGTATACATTTCTTGAGACTATAAAGTTCTGTTCATTTATACACAAAGTTCAGGAACTATCAAAATACTATAGATTTGACTGTTATAATTTCTCCTGTTAAAACATTGTATTAACCTTACACAAAATAACACTTTAGGATCATAATGTTCTAAAGCCTAGCATACACTAAAATCAAGGAAAACTGCATGATAAAAGCTCTTTAAAGCATAAAACTAATTTTAAAAATGCATGTGTCACATAAAAGAACAATTAAAAAAAAAAAAAACTGTTAATTAAATGAATACAAGGTTTATTAAACCAAGAAAATATTATATAAATGTTGGCCTTTGGCCTCTGTAAATATAATATTCTTGGGATAATAATTCACTGAAACTTACTCATTAAATTTACTCAGACAATATTCGTAAATTGTAAGAAAATTTAAAATATATTTGTACGAACTTTAGATAGAATTGTTACCAACAAAAAGTAGAATAACAAAAATACCGAACTACAAGGAAAACTCAAAACAGAAAGTCCCTTATCAAAAACAAAGCCTGTAGCAAAATAGAATATAAAAATGTATAATATGTAGAACCTATGTTAGGGTACAAGTTGATTGTAGTTGAATATAAAAACCTGAGTATTATTCTATGATATATTTACTGTCTGTTTCAGTCGTGATAGGAGCATCATGGGAACAGCGGCCAACAGATGTCTCTGCAGCAGTAGGTAGTACTGTCACATTAACGTGTAAAGTTACGGGTGATCCTGGTTTTGTAACCTGGAATAAAAATGGTAACACACTTGCAGTGGGAACCAGTATAGTATCAGGAGATAAATCTCGGATAACTATACCAGTAGCTTCTAAATTTAACCTGCAGATTAGTGATGTGCAAAAAAGTGACGATGATGATTATACGTGTAACATACAAAATATACAGCCAGACTCGCAGAAAGCTGTGACTGTTCACCTGACTGTTTTAGGTTAGTATCTTGTAGTGTAAATTGTGAAATGACTGTTCTAAGTTAGTATATAAGTTTTAGTTTAGTTTATGGAAATAATGGCTGTTAAAGGATAGTATCTGTGTTGTAGTATGGAAACAATGACTGTTCTATATGAAAATAAGACGATTTGGTATGATTGCCAATGAGACGAGACTAAATGACGTAGAAGTTAACAATTATATGTCACCATACAGCCTTCAAGAATGAGCAAAACCTGTACCACATAGTAAGCTATAAAAGGCCTGAAATGACAAATGTAAGACAATTCAAACGAGAAAACCAACGGCCTGAATTATGTACAAAACAATAAACCTGAATTATGTACAAAACAATAAACGTTTAACAAATATGATATACAGCAACAAACAACAACCACTGAATTACAGGCTCCTGACACTGGACAGACACATCCAGAATGTGCAAGAAGGGGGGGGGGGGGGGGGGGGGGGGGAGGGGAGGGGTTAAGCTTGATTGCTGGTGCCAAACCCTCCCCCCTAGCCTAGGTAAGTATATGTCTTGTAGTGTATGTTATATGCAAACAAGATTTCATGTTTTGCAGATTTATATCCCATATGAACTATAAAAGTGGAGAAATCATCAATGCTTACTTGATTGTATTACAGAAGTGTACTTGATCAGACTGTTTTTGTTATGTATTGGTGAAACATAGTAATCAATGACCTTGAATTGAAAGTTATTTTATTTGGAGAATTTCTCAAAATTTACTGTTAAACCATTTATTATTTATATTTTATTGATTGAAAAATACTGTTGTAAGGGAGACAACTCTAGGTTTAGATATGAAAAGAAACTAAAAAATATATTCTCTAATTCATAAATGTTTATTTTCTTTTACAGTGATTCCTGGCCCACCAAGTATTCAAATCAATGACACTCGACCACAAAAAGTGGAAAATGATGTTGTATCATTGACATGTTCCTCATCGGGAGGCAATCCACCTCCTGAATTTACATGGACCAAAAATGGATTAGTGCTCAATTCAAATAAAGTAGAAACAAAAGTCCCAAAAGGATTATCGTCTAGTCAATTAACTGTTCATTTGGATTATAGTGATCATTTAGCATCTTATTCATGTAGTGTCAAAAACTCTGTCAATCAGGATAATCCGTTTTCCACATCAACACAAATTTCGGTGCTTTGTAAGTATTTTATCAAATTTTGTTGCTATAACTTTAAGTTGGCACATTATTTAACAAATGGTGAGATTTTAAGTGTTTGAATTACCTAATGATTGCTGAAAATGTCATGATGTCAGACCAAAATCTGACCATAAGAATTTGAAAGTTCTGATATTTATCTGTGACTTCGATGTAAGGTAAAAGGTGCTTAGAAAATTAAAAATACAAATAATACATTTGATGAATAATCATGGCATCAAACCATGACAGCATTTGCTATAATTAGGATCCCAGATTATGTTTATAGCTATAATTAGGATCCCTTAAAATTATTATGTTGTTTTTGGCTGTGCATTAAGTTTCCACAAAGGAAAAATAGATGGAAAACTTCAAATTCAATATTTTCCTATAATTTCTTGAAAAATGAGCATCTTCTTATTTTAATATATATTATGCATAATTGTGACATCATAACATCAGTAATCTTGTATACTTCATTCATATATTTTTATCTTATGCATTTTCATACACGATGTGAAAATTTGAAATGGATGTCTAAACCTTCATATTTTGTGGACAAAAATGGGCTTTTATGCCCTTAATGCTTTCTGAATTTCCAAAATGAAAAAATGTATGATTCCGAAATCTAGAAGCACGGCACATGTTTCTGGATTAATCTTCAGCAGGTACACATGAGAACAAAAGCTTTTATAGCCAAAAATATAAAATTATTTGAGGGCACAAAAAACAAAACAGCCTCAAAATATAGCTGTGCATAAGAATAATCCAACATTGTAATGAGCAAAGAAAGATAACTCTGTTGTTTTATTTGTAGATCATCCCAGAATAACATTTAAACCATATAAAGAATTATCACTAGAGTTAGGAAGTGCAGGATCGTTAGAATGTAATGTCAGTGCAAACCCACCAGTCACTTCTATATCATGGACCAAAGATGGACAACCTCTTCAAAGTAAGAAAACAGAACACAAAAGCATTAATTTATTTAATTTTCTTTTCTGGAGTAAAGCTTCTACATTTTATGAAACATGCTCACCAAGGTATAAAGAAGCACACAAATTTTGTATGAATTCAGTTAAATTTTTGTTGTAAAAAATTAAACTTTTCTATTTCAACATTTGAATGTTGTTGAATACTGTAGACTTTAAAAAACTTTTGAATATCTTTTTGGATACAGATTTTAGGTTTGGATACAGATTTTAGAAATTATCAAGGACTCCTCTACTGTTTCTTAACAAATACAAATAATTTTTATATTTCCAGAAATATATACTATTCTAATCCTGCAATTTAACGCTGACACAAGAAAGGTATTAGGAGATGATATATATGTATCCTATACAGATATCGCTTCTCTTGTATTTGTGTAGTAAAATGGTCAATGAATAAAGGAAGAGTTTTGAGTATAATATCAATGAGACAGCAACCCAACAACACTAAAAAAAACATAAAACAATGGATATTTTACCATTAAAACTGAATGATACTAATGTTATTATTGATTTGTAGTTTGATTTAATGATAAAACAGATATTTGATTAGATTTTAGAATTAAAATTATTTTCATTGAAAATATGCATTTTCTTTCAACTCACTTGTTTCACAGTATTATGTATCTTTATAATTTATTTTTAGCCACAGATTCCCGCATAGATTTTTCACCAGCCAGTAAAACTGACAGTGGATCATACTCATGTTCATGTTCAAATTCAATAAATGGTGTAACTAAACCAGCCTCAGACACAGCAACAGTTAGTGTTTTATGTAAGTATTCTATGTAATGAGAGAGCAGCAGACAAGACGGACAACCATTCTCATATGTGATATGTAAAGAATATTGTTCATTATTCAAAAACAAAACAAAAACAAAAACAAAAACAAAACAAAAACATGAAAAAGAAAGAAAGGAATGACAGTTAGAAATACAGTTAGAGTTGACCCTTGTTATCTCTAAAGTTTTTAAACCGGAAAAAAATGTTATTATCTATGTTTGAATTAAGCAGGAAACTTTTAAAAAGCTTTCTGATTATGATCAAGGAGACACAACTCTATAATATAATAAATTTAAGTATTAGCTAGGGGATCAATACTAGTTTTTAGTTTTGGAAAATTGTTCTTTTCTTAATTGCTTTTATTTATTTAATTTCACTTTCTCTTATTTTAATTTTTTTTCAAAAGAGAATTTGAAAATGAAAAACACTGATAGAATAGGTATGATTAGTACACCTCAATTAGATTTTTACACACATAGGGACATCCCCACTGACTGTTAGATATGTAAGAAAGAGATATAGACTTTTATTTTCTATTCAGATCCTCCTGTTGTTACAATACCAGAAGTTTACGAAGTCAATGGATCAGCAACTTTAGATATCACATGTAATGTTGATGCCTATCCCGCTCCCTTTTATACAAGATGGCAGAAGACCGACAACAGCATTCAATCAAATAATGACCGGTTAACAATTGATAATATCAAACGTTCACACAAGGGCAACTACTCATGTATCTCCAAGAATGCTATGAGACCATCGGGACAAGATGAACGTATTGAAGAAAGGATTAAATATACATATCTCTATGTTAGATGTAAGTTATTAAAATATAATTCAGTAATTAACTGGGATCTATCATCTTTTCAGCTATTTAAAACTTTACTTAAGATATATCTGTATAGTGTTTGAAGCACTGTGTCAATTGTGCATATGTGGTCTGTTTTTCTCCAAATTAAGGTTTATTTACTCTTTGGTATATTCTTTACAGTTTTTGGACATCATCAAATCACAAACTGACGCCAACTATGCTTCCGTCACATTACTGATATTTTTATTGTAATGCAGACATTTACTTAATATCGACCTCAGTGTGTCAGTCTAGTACAAAGCAGGGTTCATATTCATATCTCATAGACACACTCTTATCCTGATAAACATGTGATACTTGCCACTAGACATTAAATCCATTATCATCATTGCAAGTGATGTATCAAATTGCATTAGAATAACGTAATATATTAATCATGGACAAGAAACACTGAAGTTGAATATCTCCTTCTTTAGTTTTAAATTATTCACATGCATCTGTTCAAGTATTGTTGGCAAGTTGTGAGCACTTTATAAACATGTTTACAGTAGAACAACCAAGCGTTAAAATGAGCATGTTTTGTGTTATTGAGTAAGAGACAGTTGGTCATAATGATGTAAAGTCATGATATATTTTTTTTTCAGATTCCCCTGGAAGTTCTAATATTGCTCCAGTATCACCTGTTTTTGTAGGAAATTCTCTCACTCTTTCGTGTTCAGTTAGTGATCCAGGTAATAATTATATACAATATTTAATAATATACAGGAAGATGCATGAATGTTACAATGATATTCAAGGATAAACAACTGCTCATTAAATTTATTCATTCTAACCTAGTAAACAAACAAACAACAAACAGATTCTTAATGGACAATTTGGACACCCTTTGAGACAGTGTTGCACTAAGTGTATAAACTGATACCAAAAAGTATCATACCATTAAAATCAGGAATAATTTATTAAAATGCATTTTGGAAACATTTACCTAATCACATATTTATGTTTACAAAATGTACTCATGGCAATAATTGTATCCAGATCCTCTGGTAATTAAGATGATTATGTTCTCTCTTTTTATGTTTCCTTAACTCTCTTCATTTTTTAAAAAATTGTATCAGGTTATAATAAAATTTGACATATTTTATTTCAAGGCTATCCAGCACCAACATATGAATGGAGAAAAATTGAAACCAACCAGTTATTAGCAACAGAAACCTCAAGACTTGTAATTAATGGAGTTACGTTACAAGATAATGGGAATTACTCCTGTACACCTAAAAATATGATGGGGATGGGAGGCATAAGTACAGTCCATGTAGTTGTCAATGGTATGTATTTATAATATACTCATATAAATTAAAATTCACAGCCTATTCATTCCAGATAAATTTTAACCCGAATTATTCAGTCCCTCCCTGTGATCGACTCTCCCACTCGCGAGGGCCTGAATTCTTTATACAATAAAAACGTGAATCCAGGATTTTGATTGGTGCTCTCTGTGAGAGAGAGCCAATCAGCTAATAGCTCAATGTTATCGAGATGGGTAAATCCCGAGCTAATTCGGAATGATTATTTGACGATTTTTTATTGACAAGGCCTTCAGGCGTTAATGTAGCCATCGTAGAGCAGTGGAATATAACGACTGAATTATTCGGGTTAGATAAATTTAAGACCTGAAGTTTGAAAACTTAAATCCAGTTAAAGTTGAACTGCTAAGTATCAAATACAATTGTCACTGCTTATCTACTTAGATATTGTTTTGGTTTTATTTATGTTGTTAGCTCTCAAAATCTCCTTTAATTAATAAATAATACAAGAATTTTCAATGTTGATGTTTTGTATTAAAACTTAGAAAATAAAATAGAGTTATCTCCCATTGGTTAGCAATACATAGAATTTAAGAAGTAACTTTTGAAAAATTATACATTAATATTTGATAAATTTTCTTTCAGAGAAACCAACATATGTTGGTGTTCATAAAGACAAAGATACTATATACAACAACAGAACAGGTTATTGGTTACAGTGTAAAGTTCGTGGACGTCCAGAACCATTGATTCAGTGGTATAAAAATGGCAAACCTTTGGATACATCGGGGAAATTATACAGATTAACCACAACTGTTCTACCTATCGACACATTCAGCTTCCTTGTCACTAGTCAAGTTTATTTACAAGGTAATATTCTTATGATTTATATTGAGGTAATATCCTTATGATTTATACTCAGGGGATTTAAGTTGCAGAAAGTTCATGAATTACTTCCCTTTTAGAATAGAGTTAAGGGGTATATTAATGCATGTGTAAAATGAGCTTTGTTCTTCTTTTTCCTGTTTCAAGGCATGATAAGGAATCTTTGTAGGAAGTTATAATTCTGTTTTCTCATTTGATTACCAATAATTGCTAATCATTGTATAACAAGGAAATGATATTATCTTCAATATTTTGGAAAAAAAAAAGGTTTCCTTTTCAATGTTGATTTAATTTTTCTGTTAGATTATGTCATTGCATAATGTTTCCTTCCAACAGGGGAAGGTGTAAGTTCAAAAGTTTATAGATTCTAGTTATACCTACCCATATATTTAGTATAAGTGCCATCAATTTGAATGTTTGCAGTTTAAATAATAGCAAGGCAACAATGATTAAAAAAATCATAAAAAATTCAACCTATATCTAAAAAAACAATACCACCAAAATACGTCACCTACTTCTCAGGTTTCGTAACTAGAAGTTGAATGATATCCATGAATATTTTTACTAAGGTTTTGAAATGTAGAAAAACTCAGTTATCAATTATGGTAATTTTCATTTAATTTTCTAGTCAATTTAAGTTTCTTCACAGTTGACTATTACATATTTAGAAGGCTTGTGTATCATTTCACAAATGTACACAATTTCAAACACCATTTTTTAGTGCGTAATTATTTTTCATCAAAAATTACTTCCTAGTAATATAAATTAAGAAGATTTGGTATAACTGCCAATGAGACAACTACCCAACAATGAGAAAAACATATATTTTTACATCATTTGTTTGGGAGTATGACTTGACTATCTAATGAAGGTCATTGATATATATTGTTGTTATTTGTAGGAAGTGATCGTGTTGGCACAACAACTCCACAGATCTCAGATGTGGCTAGTTATACTTGTAAAGAAACCACATCAAACATTAATCATACCACACAACTATTTATATACTGTAAGTATTACACTTCAAGGGTGGATTCATGATTATTCTTACATGCAAACACATATGCATGGGACACAATCGTTAGCTTCACACTAAATCCCTAAATCTGGTCTAAAGTATCCAATATACATGACACACAAAATATTTTTTTTACTTTCAAGTAAAATCAATGTTTAAAAACATGTGTTATTCCAAAATGCACTAAAAATTTGATTGATAAGGTTTAAAACATGTTATTGTTTTAAAAGTAGCCATATGTATGTTATAAATGGAGAATTTTCTTGTCTGCATTTTTATATCTTTTCCTAACTTTTATGTAAAAGAAATTAGAATTCCAAATTACATATTTGCAATGCTACATAAATTGATTAGCCATTGGCTAAAGAAATTTACAATTCAAATGATTACATACTTATTTTGACTACTCTTTCTTACTGTATATTTGTTTTGATTCTTGTACCTAACCAATTCTCTAGTTTACAAAATCATTGATTCTTGTATACCTATCCACACAAACTTATACTTCAGTGTATAAAATACAATGTATGTGATTCTTGTCCTAAGTAGCCTGACCAAACATTACTGCATATTTAAAAAAGAAGATGTGGTATGATTGCCAATGAGACAACTCTCCACAAGATACCAAATGACACAGAAATTAACAATTATAGGTCACCGTACAGCTTTCAACAATGAGCAAAGCCCATACTGCATAGTCAGCTATAAAAGGCCCTGAAATGACAAATGTAAAACAATTCAAACGAGAAAACTAACGGCCTTATTTATGTACAAAATAATGAACGAAAAACAAATATGTAACACAGCAATAAAAGACAACCACTGAATTACAGGCTCCTGACTTTGGACAGGCACATACAGAATGTGGTGGGGTTAAACTTGTTGGTTGGCGCCAAACCCTCCCCCTTACCTGGGACAGTGGTGTAACAGCACAACATAAGACCAAACTATGCAAAACAATAAACGAAAAACAAATATGAGAAACAGCAAAAAACGACAACCACTAAATTACAGGCTCCTGACTTGGGACAGGCACATACAGAATGTGGCGGGGTTAAACTAGTTTGAAGGTGCCAACCCTCCCCCTAACCTGGTACAGTGGTGTAACAGAACAAACTATAAAAATCAGTTGAAAAGGCTTAACTCATCAGATGGATACAAATAGAAATACATCTAACAAAAACAAAGAGTGGACGTGGATGGGTACTTGTATATCCAATCAACAAAAAGACAATAAGTACAGATCTGAGAGTATTCGCAGTTATGGACAGCTAGTTCAAAGCCAATAACAACTAATAAAAAAAAATCATGCATCTAAGACTAAATTATCAATCAGTACACATCCAACATCCAATGGATCCAATGCAGCATACAAAAGATTTGCTTTGTATAGCCCATCAATTCTCAAGTGATCAAAATACAATGTATTTCATTCTAGTTGTCTGACTAATGATTACTCTAACATACAAAATATTTTTATAGTTCCCCCACCCCAGCTATAACTTTACAAAGTTTTTGCTTTTTTTTTTGTAGTTCCACCAACCATAACTTTACAAAGTGTTTGCTTTTTTTTAGTTGCACCAACCATAAGTTTACAAAGTGTTTCATTTTTTTTGTAGTTCCACCAACAATAACTTTACAAAGTGTTTGCTTTTTTTTAGTTGCACCAACCATAAGTTTACAAAGTGTTTCATTTTTTTTGTAGTTCCACCAACCATAACTCCAGATGAGAAGGAAGCTTCCATTGCTGGTGGTACAGCTCAGTTAAAATGTATTGGAGAAGGCTATCCTGTACCAAACTTTGTGTGGAAGAGGAGTAATGCTGTGATTAGTTCTGGAGGGAGACTTACAATTCATCAAATCAAAGTTATCAGTGTAACTAGATCTGAAAGTATTCTACAGATAGATAGAATAGTTGGTCAAGATTTCGGACCTTATACTTGTGAGATGTCAAATCAGTTTGGAAAAACAACTAAAACCATAACTTTAACAGTCAAAAGTAAGTTGGTCATTTCAGTTTACATTTTTCTGTTTTCAGCTGCTATTTTAGATATTAGTTATTGAAGCTTCTCCTTATTGTAATGACTAGAATAGATTTTTGAAAAATAGGGATTGACATGGTCTGTCAATTTTGCCATAAAAAAAGAGTGTGCTTTGTTTGTAATTTTTTCATTGAGAAACCAAATTATTTTGACTGTAACGTTATTATGAAAAGAATATTTACATTTTGAAGAAATTTGTTTACATATTGATTCCAATATAGCTCCTGTTGATACACATCAATGAATTGTCTTATAATGTACACATATGGATACACAAGATAAATTGTCCTGGTATGCTCTGATGAGAATAGCATGAGATGTTATACAATAGTGGATAATATTTTTATTTTGTTGAATGAACAGATTTTTTGTAGATCAGAAAAGCTAAGCATGAACAGTTGTAATACTAACTTATATTTGTATGCAATATTTAATTTTAATTCATGATCTTTCCAACAGTTGCTTTTTTCCTCAGCATGCGTAAATTTCCAATTGTCTAATATGCACATCATCAAATCTGCTAAAATTCTTCAAGACTTTTTAGTGCTTTCAAAATTGCATTTGTTTTTCCTGCTTTAAGCTGAGTTCAGTATTAAAAAGGATAAAAATGTATACTGATTAAAGTTAATTTTCCCTCTTCTGCACGGATTAAGTGCATCTTGTAAAAAATAAATTTTATTCGCTGTCGTTACTTGTCACTCATGTAAACGGAGGATTTCGGCAATTTTACATCAATTTATATTTAATTGGTGAGTATTATTTTTTATCATTTGATTACATGTAAACTCCTTAACCTGGTCAAGTTTAAAGTGGTGATGGAAATTTACATCTGATTGAATGAGAAAAAAAGCCAAGATATAATTCAATAAAAAAAGTTAGATAATTTATTAATAGTTAAATGTATAAACATAATAAAATACATAAACATCCTACGAAAAAAATTATTGGTAATGTAGAAAAATAAATAAAAGCTACTATTTTAACTGTATCTAAATACATATCAGTTATAAAAATTTTATATCAAAAACATTCTAAACTTAATGATATTGATAAATCATACTTAAAGAAAGTACTTTTACTTGTTTTTCAGGTAAACCAGAAGCACCTACAGGATTGTCAAGTCCAAAAAGGTCATGGGACAAAGTGACATTACGATGGACTCCTGGTTTTAATGGAGGGTCGTACCAAGCATTTGTTGTAAAGTACAAAAGTAATCCTCCTAATGCAGGGGACCAATCAATTAGAGTTATGCCTGACAATGCTACAGAATTTACTGTTTCCAGTGAGTAAAAGTAGACTGTACCCTACATCAACTGTCAAGATGAAGAACAGGAATAAAAGCCCTGTTCATTGATAATTTTCTATGTTTTCTATGTATTGTGTGCGATTTTGTCCCATATACATTTACTCCATATCCTTTCATTTTCTATTAACACATGAGTTTATTGTAAAATATCCATATGAAAACTTATATTTCGAATTTTAATTTATATCGTCAAAAGTAAGATAAAATTATAAATTTATTTGATAGATAATAAAATCTTTTTTGATACAGAACAGTGAACAAAATCATATCTACACACTAACACTGTGTTGCTGATTTATTAGTACAAATAATACACAAAAGTACACTCTAATTTTATTTATTAGTTTTATAAGCATCTGTTTAAATACTCATTTGTTCCTTTTCTTATGCAGCTATTTCTGTTTATAAGTTTATGTTTATTATATTTTTTGTTCCGTAGGGGGTCTGCAATTGAAAAACAAAGAATGTTGAAACTGAATTTTATAATTGAATAGTTATTCATTTCACAATATAAGTTGTTAGTGAATGAAGCATATTTTATAATTAAATGTCTACTTTATAGATCTGTTACCCAGTATTGCCTATGTTTTCCAAGTTTGTGGATATAATGAGTTAGGAGAAGGTGACTTATCAGATTCTATCACAATTACAACTAATGGTGAGTAGCCTCCCCTTTTTAATACATTGGAAAATGCTTTACAAAGATTTCCTCTTCATTATCTATCATTATTTTTTGTATCCAATGTCATGCTTCATTGTGAAAAGATTGAATGACCTTGTGCCTTTAGATTATTAGTCATGTTAGGTTGCTGACTAGTTGACACTTATCTCACATATCCTTTTATTCATATGATTTGAATTCCATTATTTTGTTTTTAAACTTTAGAAAATAAACATTTGCATACATTTTTACTATTAAAAAACAAAGAAGGAAGTGAAAAAATACCATTAAATCTTAAATATGAAAGGATCTCTGAAGTGAAAACTTTGGATATTTTTGATGAAACACATAAAATTTTAATGCATAGTTAAACTTAATACATACGTATATATTCAAATCCACAGAAAGATAGAGACATTACAAATGAAGATATACATAATCAGTATAGCCTTTTTTTTTATTGTTCATTTCAGGCTATACATTCCCATTTATTAAAGAGACACCAGAGTTTTCTGGCGACAACAAAGAATTAATCTTGAATCTCGATGTAAACAGCACTTTCTGTGTGAAGGTCAAGGTCAGCACCAATGGTGGACAGTCATGGCAGACCTTCACCAATAATGACCTAGAATGTTTTGATGCCAATGTTGCTAAGATGATCATTACAACCAATGGAGTAGACAGAATGAACGTGTCCCTTTGTCTTGTAGAGCGTATGGATGTCTGTGGCCTTCCTGTTTCTGTTAGAATTAGTAAGTCTCCAAAACACCTAGGTCATGTAGGATTTTTATGTCTAGAAATAAAGCACCTGGGTCATGTGACAAAAGTTTTTGTTGAAAAATTTACATCAATATATTCGTGGGAGATATGTTGTAGCTAAATATTTATGCCGGTAATACAGTTGCTCATATCTGACATTAATGATGCTATATTGGGAATTTTGCAATTGGTCTCTTAAATTCAAGAAGTTTGAAGACATAATGCAAATATGTAAGACAAGTAACTGATATCTTAAAGACTAATGTCTTGTTCACATCTGAATGGTTGTTAGTTATTAGATTAATAATTATCGATTATTGGGACAAAAAGGATGCCTTATCATACCTTCTTTTTGTGAGTTTTTGGAATCAATAGAGCATCTTGGTTTCATTCTAATTAAAGATTTTGTCACATTACCCAACAGAAATTGTATTTTGTTTGTATTTTTTGTAAACTTTTTTGTGCAACAAACAGTTTGTGGTAGCTAGAGTCTGTTTTACATTTAATGGCGTTCATGGGATCATAATTATGTAATAAATGACATTGTAAGTTGATGGACATTTATGTTGATATCATCTGATAAATTTTAGGTGAATGGAATATCACTGGTAAGTCAGTTTGTTAACCAAGGCAGAAAAAGGCACCTTATTATTCAAGAGTATATATTTGTAAGATGTACAAAATTGAAGGGGAATTAACTCCGTCTTGCCTAATGTTTATGTCAGGGGAGATGACTCTGTAGTGTTTGTGCCAATGATATTCTCATCATTATTGAATGTATTGAAAATCATTTATGTTTTATGGATTTTTGGCATTTTTATACTTCCAGGAAGTTTTCTATAAATGTGTCAATTTTGAAATGAATTGAGTCATAAAGTTTTAAGATAAGAGTGAAGACTCTTAATGACTAAAATGTGTTTGATCTATTTGCTTGTATATATTCATAGCAGTATTCATCATTGTTAATAACATTTTCAACTTTACATCTTTTGAAGAAAGATGTTATTTGTTAGCATTGAAAAATGTTTCTCCATTTACACTGCAATGCATGTGTATTGTGCATCCACAATCTGCATGAAAATAATTTGATTTCAATATAATCATATCACTTTTTAACTGCTCTGAAAAAAAGAAAGAACAAATTAGGTCTTCATTTTTACATAACAACAAACAGTAGAAAGTTAAACATTTTAGTTGCTTTTGCTCTCTTTGCATTGATTTCTGCAGTTACTAACAGGCTAAAGGGTATGTTGCCTTTTTATTGGGAGTGTATGTCCCCAACTATCACATTGAAAATGACTATTTTGAAATTAAAGTGATGTTGAAATAGATGATAAAGTTTTTTTGTGTTTTTTTTTTTTTGGGGGGGGGGGAGGGGGGGGGAATAGGAAGTAAAGAACAAGTTAATAAAAAATAGAATGAAGAAAGGACAAAAAGTAAGAAGAAAGTAATATGCGGAGGAGAAATGATGGGGAAGAAGTCTCAATTAAATTTAAAGAAATTGGTGGTAGAAAATAGTTCAGTGGCGTTGGAGCAGATAGAGATGTGAAAATGACCGTAGCATTTAAGGATTTGTATAGTAAAATTCTTACTCACTTATAGACCATTGTATTGGTATGTTCATTCTTACAGTGCTTAGTAAGCTAATTATTACATGGACAACTTTGTGGAAAAAACAAAACTGTGACTATTGGAAATCAATAGATAAAGTTGATAGTCATAATGATATAAATATCTACAAGGGAAAACAATAGCATGTCTAATAAATGAAACAAGGAGATGTAGTATTTACCAGAGTCAATATTCAAAATAGTTTATTTTAATAAAATTGAGAATAGAAATGGAGAATGTGTCAAAGAGACAACAACCCGGCCATGTTTTGATGAATATGACATTGATGTTTTGTAGGATGATTGGTTACTGTTGAAGCTTTGATGATATTAAACATATCTCCTTCACAGTTTTTTAATCGGTATAGTTACCCCATCCATTTCCTCCCAAACTATGCTTTCAAATTAATACAGCTTTTATAAGTCTAAGTTCTGAAATTTTGTAAGTTTCTGTGCAGGAGGGTCTGGATAGCTTTTTTCAGAATATAGGCAAAACAAAAACAAACTGTGGAGAATAGGATGGTAGAACATAAAAATTAGAGAAAAATGGCCTAAAAAAATAAAGAAATAAAGACCCTCCCCCATGCAGGCCCTCTTGCCAAGGTTTTTTCAACAAAATTTGATAGCATGGTCATCTTAAGTTGAACTAATAATGAGAAATTTTCCTAATCTAAACATGGTCAAATTTAATTTACACATGTTCAATGGGTCAGATTCAAAATAATATTTTCTCATGCAGGTGATCATTTTACTACCTGACCATAAATTGTTTATTTTGTGAAAGGAAATAAGATTATAGAGCAGATAACATACAATAATGGCTCCAGTGTTAAAATGAAGCGAGTGGCTATTTCTGAATATTTGCCGAAACCAATTTTCTTTTCTTTCAATCAATAGTTCATTCAATTTGTCCGTTGAAAGGAAATCCTTCACCTGTGTATTACACACCTTCATTGTACTCATCAAGTTTTAATCTGATCAAGCAAAGGCTTTTCGGCTCAGTGGTAACATCCGCGAATTAAAATGTTGTTCATTGTCCGATAGGAACGATTTTTACTGGATTTGGTGAGATCATGTGGTGAAGTTGACAATTTGTTTCAGTATCAATACCTGATCATTTATAAAATTAAAGTGGATTAGATAAAAGTCAGTTCTGTTATGTCAACAATCACAGTAAAAAAATTTAAAAAAAAACACAGTTGGGCTTAATATTTATATGTCTCTGCTAATTGATCAATAAAATTTCTGGTGATGAATTGGTTTATTGCATAAAATATGATAGTCTCTTAATTGGGGATGTTTTTAATTTGTAAGATATTTAATAGATAGCTGATTGATTTACATTACCACCACAATTTTATGTTAAAAATCACAAAACAATATTGATATTTCAGCTTAACATATACTTTGAAATTTTAGCAAAAAAATCTTTAGATATTAGTCTTAGATTTATGCTGTGAGTAAATTAAGAATTAAGTTCAAAGAGGGAACCAGTTCAAATATATTTTCCCTTTGTAGGACCCCTAGCTTATAGTAAATATTACATGTAACAGACATATGGCCTATAGCATTTGATTATTTCATCCCAGGATTATATCAATATTTATTTTAGACCTGTGTTTACATCTTGTCAATTTCTGTAGTAAAGATACTCATCTGTTGATTACATAAAGAAATCTAAATTACCTGGGAGGGAAAGTTTTAAAATAGGGGAAGTCAAGCAAAAATAATTTCTGTACTTATATAAGGGGTTATATCGGTACTATTCTGAGAGCAATATTTTATAATTTTTGGAAACAAATTAAGCTTCAAATTTTAGATGTTCCATAATTGGACTTTTATAAACTTTGGGGCCAATATCTAACCACAGTCTTCCCAGATGAACTATATCAAAATTAAGAATAAAAAATCTCTGTTTCATATTTCTATCTGAGACATATATACTACATATGCATGTCTCTACTGTAATTTTTTTTTTTTATTAAATAATAATCTTTTATCACACATACAAGGCACAGGCACAAGTCTATATTAATGTATATAGGTAAAAAAAAATTCAGAGACAAGTGCCTGTGATACAATGCAATTGAGAATTTAATTCTGCCCTTGTGGGCCTTTGAAAGTTCACTATTACTTACATATGACATTGAAATATTCATTGCCTGTGGAAATTTATTTGTCAATAAATTAATTCATGTAAAATGTGAGAAATATGAAACATTTCCATATCAAATTTTATAACCATGTCTGACAGTTTTGCTACCTGTCTAAATTTAATTAGATAATCACCCTCCATAACATAATAAACTCAGCTCAAAATGTTTAATTCAATTAACTTTAGGAGAGTCTATTGTCCTGGATAGGGTTGAAAGGTTACACCTGGAAATCTTTCACTGTTGATTGGGTAGATTTCACTCAACCTTGAAGAAAATTCAGGTCATCTGAATGTAGTGGAATGGAGTGAATTATTTGTTGAGATTTTGTTTATTAATTAATTTCTGTGATGTGTTATTTCCCCCTTTTTGTGTATTGGATTGGACATTAATCAGTGTGGAAGTAGAAAACCACATTATACCTTGACTAGAAACTGTTACCTACTGGAAATGTGTACACCATGTTGATTTCATTGCTGAAATAGACAACCATGGTGAAATAGAAGTATTTATTCATATTTTTACTGGGAAAATCCTTTCAGTATTATTAATTTTGTACCTTTGGGATTTAAATGAAATAGTAATTAAGAATATTAATTTTTGGAGAAGTGACAGTTGAATGGAAATGAAGATTTTTGTAACATTTTGTGAAATATTATTGGACACAACAATCAGATGAAGTTTTAATTATTGGATATTTAGCTGAAGATAATATCTACAAAACTATTGAATTATTCATCAACACAGAACAAAATGTCAGGTGAGAGAAATTTTCTATCTTTCAAATCAATAAGAAACTTGTCATTTTCATGTTGTCGCATAAAAATATAGGTAAATTTCTTATGATATTTACTTTTTATCTCACCTTGTAGATGTTTTTATGAGTCATATAGAGTCCCTTGTGAAAAATAAGCAGTTTTAAATTGTGAAAATGAACTATTCAGCAGAAATTATGATATGAAAATTTACTACTTCCCCTATTACCATGATTATATTTGTTTAAAATATTATTTTTGTAAAAAATAAATCAACGTTTCACAAGATTAGAAGGTTCCTTGTGTATTTACCTTCAAAAGGAGGTATCTGGTCCTCGCATCAAAACAAGGCAGGTGTTGCAAATCCAGTATTATGCTTGAAGTTAGTTTTCAGACTGTAATGAGACAGGTAATCAGAATTGTTCCTCATGTTTAAGGAAATGGACTAGCTGGTAAGTCTCTAAACATGCATGCT